CATCTCCTGCCACAGAACAGGCATCTCCTGCCACAGGGTGGGCATCTGCTGCCACAGAGCAGGCATCTCCTGCCACAGAACAGGCATCTCCTGCCACAGGGTGGGCATCTGCTGCCACAGGGCATCTCCTGCCACAGGGCGGGCATCTCCTGCCACAGGGCAGCTCGCCCCAGGGCAGCAGCGTTTCTCCTGCTAAAGCAAAGATCTGACTGCGGGTAGGAACTGTTACACAGGACACAGGGCTCCGGGGGATTTCTAACCTGCTTCTGCCTCAGTTTAAAAGCAAAGGTATTAAATTACTTTGGACTAGAAATCTGTCCAGCCTAGTCTAATCTGCAGGGCTTTAGTTTGTCAGGGTGCAGCCTGCAGCGGGTGCTGGTGATGCCCATCCAGCGCAGCCCTGTGGCATGGCAGGGGGCCGTAAGTCATCCCTCCAGGTACTGGTGTGCACTGGCACACCCTGAGGTGCCAAGGATGCCAGGCGAAGTGCTGGGCGTTAATTTATTCCTGGTATTGCCCTTCTCTCACCGAACTGAAATCCTTACCGCCAGTTACTAAATTCAGTCGTTTCCCTTCTCGGCTGCGTTTATACCAACACGAAGGCAGGTATGTGTTTGTGCACGCATTCTTATGGGGCTTGTTTTGGTTTGGGGTTTTTCAGGTAGGTTGGCTGGTCTTGGTGGGGTTTTTATTTGTTGGGTTTTGTTGGTTTTTTTTTTTTTCTAAGCCCTCATTAACTCCACTCACGCTGTCTTACTCTGTTTGCCACTGCTTAAGTAGTGCTTTTTTAAAAAAGCAACCAATTAGCACCTCATCAGCTTCAATTATAGGAGACAAAAGCAGTGTAAAGATAACTCAATGAGAGGGGGTGGCACAACATCATGTAATCGCTTAAGACAGCGGTGAACATTCACTGTGCTGGCTCTGCCGGGCCTATTCACCTTTTTTTCTTCTTTCTGGATGCATTTAAGACCCCCCTTTTTTCCCCCCCCTTCTTTTTTTCTTTTTTCTTTTTTTTTTTTTTTTCTGGGAAGCCGGGCCTCCCAGGAGTCTCAGAGTCTCTCATTCAGGGCTACCTGTTTACAGCTCACCGAACAGAAGGACCTAAACAATCCTATATTGTACGCCTAGTGCTTCCTTAAACTTAGGCCTCCACAATGGCATGTTTTCAGAAGCTGGGCAGAATAAGTTAAAGGCTGGCTTTATACTCATTAAGTGTTCTGCTTGTACTGTCTTCTAATTACATGGCAGGGCAACAATGTATTTTTTTTTCTAATGGAGTTCTTTGGAGCAGTTAATTTGGTGCCTGTACTAAATGCCCCAAAACATTAATTAGTGTGGAAGGAACCCTAATTTCCTCAGCGGCTTTCCTCTCCATTTACTTCCCTTGTTTTCACATAGGCTTGGATGAGCCTCTATAATGAAATTACCTCATTAATGCCTTTATTCTTGCAGAGTAACTCATTCAAGATCTACCATTTAGTTTTAATTTAATGCTGTCAAAAGCAAAAGGTGCATTCATGTCTTTGATTAGTGCATTTTTTTCTCTCTAAAGAGTGGACAGATTTAAATTATTAAGATGGCAAGTAGTGAGTTATAATTGGATACAAGCAGCACTTCAGTGAATATTAAATGCTTTCAAAGCCTGGCCTATGTGGTCTGCTGACTATTAACTGTGTCCAGTGAGTTATTCTGTGGGGTTTGAATTAACGGCGCATTAGCTACTGTGAAGCAAATTGTTTAATTTTGTTTATAAAAAACGGTGAAGTTGCATTTATCAACATGACATTTAGTTGTAGCAGAGTTCAGTTTTCCCCATTATCCTATACTGACCTCATTGCTTGGTTAGTACTGCTAACACAGGGTCTCCTCCTGTACTCCACACTCTTGCAAAGTCTAACTGGAGACTTGCCTACCTATGGCCAGACCTTTATTTGCAGAACTACAGAGTTCTAAATGTTGTCAAGCAGGAACCACCTGCATTTGGCTCCACTGATAATTTGCTTATGGAGCACAGTGGCACGAAGTGTGTCTGATTTGTGGGGCATGCACAGTTACAGACTGTCTTGGTACCAGCAACTGAAGGGGCAGGAGTTAACATCTGATCCTTGATCTTTAGTTGTCTCTCTTCTCCCTCCTTTCCTTTGCAACTCATGTCACAAGATGCCTGAGATGTGTCAGAGAAACGTGCATGTCAGAAGACTTAAGCAGCCTGTAGACTGCTTGGCACATGCAGTTTATTATTAACTAATTATAGTTTATTGTGTGGCTGCAGTGCTACCAGAGGTCAAAAGTCAGAGTCGCATCCTTGGGCCAGGAGCTCTGTAGGGCTCTGTGTAACCCCTGTGCAAAGCAGCCAGTCACAGCAGTGTGTCACAGCCTTGCCCCATGGCCCGGGGCCCTCCAGTTCTGAGCATCTCCAAGGATGGAGATCCCACAACCCCTCTGGGCTTCTGTTCCAGTGGTTACCCACCTGCATAGGGATGTTTTCCTTTAGTAATTGTAAGGAAATTATTATCTTTTCAGTGCAGTCATTAAATGTGATAGGATAACTTGAATTGATAATATTTTAAAAATAACATGAATTATAAGTTTATTATAATGTACTACATATATTTATTATAAGTGTTTGACATATTTAGTACATGTTACACAGGATACACGTGCAATATTATACATCTATTATGATTGCAATGACAAGCAACACACAGGGCACTGTTGTTTATCTTAGTAATCTTTCCCATCTCTGCTGTAAAAGTGTCTTGGGTTTGGATTCATTTCTCCTCCTAGCACGAGCAGGAGCAAACCCTTCTATTTATTTGTTCCACAGCGGAGCGAGGTCCTGGGAACTTTGAGTAACTTCTACCGCGGTGTCTCACTGGCCTCTCGTGGCTGGATGATGCATGTGCACATCACCGCGGTGAGTATCTCATCTTCCTTCTGTTGCTGCATTAAATTCCCGGTCAGAATGTTACGGCCAACATGATCTCCTTTAATTCCTGCCAGCCTGGAATACACGGTTAACTTTCCTTTTTTAGCTCCAGTTATCTGCACAAACCCAGAGGAGCTCCATGGCCAGAGGAGCTGCCCGATGGAGCACATGGAGCCCGGCACCAGCCAGGCTGGGATGACTCCCCGGGAGTCCAGCTGCACTCTGGAGAAGAGAAATGGAGAGCTGGGGGAGGCCTGAGCAAGTCCTGAGGGTAAGCTTGCAATAGTTTATAGGGTAGAGACTGAACATATTTAGGTATTAAAGAGGAGATCAGATGTGGAGAGGTAGGGAAGTTTTCAGGGGTAAAATCTGGGACAACCTGTAGCAGAGAGCATGAAAATGTTGTGTTAAAACAGAGGTAATCAGGAGTGGGCTGGAAGGGAAAGTTGTGGGGGTGAGGTAGGAGAGAGCATCCATGACAGAGATTGGAGGGGAAACTGAGGGAATCAGCAGTGGACAGGGAGGGAAAAATGTGGGGTAAACTCTGGGGCAGCGTGGAGCAGAGAGAAGGAGGATTTTGGGTTCAACTGAGGCAGTCAGGAGTGGGCAGGTAAGGAAAGTTCTGGGGGTAAAACTTGATAAAACCTCCGGGGTAGAAAATGAAGCTTTGGAGGTAAAAAAAGAGTTCCTGAGTTGTGTGCAGGTGGAGAAAACTGTGGGGGTTAAATGTGAGGTGATCTGTGGGGGAGAGAATGAAGATCTTGTGTTAAAAACCAGGTGACCAGTTGTGGGCTGGAAGGGCAGGTTTTGGGGCTTCAAAAGGAGGTTGATTCTCTGCAGGGAGGGAATGAAGCAAAGGAAATAAAATAAAGGAAAAGAAAAAATGAAACAAAAAGAAATGAAAAAAAATTTAAATGAAATAAAATAAAATAAAAAGAAAGAAAATAAAATGAAAATAAAGTGAAATGAAATTTAAAAAAAGAAATGAAAGGGAAATGAAAGGAAAGGAAAATAAAACTAAATAAAATAATAAAAAATGAAATAAAATAAACAAAAACAAGAAGAAAAAATAAAATGGAAATAAAATGAATAAAAAGAAATAAAATAAAATAAAATAAAATAAAAAGAAAGAAAAGAAAATGAAAATAAAAAGAACTAAAATAAAAAGAAAAAATAAAAATAAAATAAAATTAAAAGAAAGAAACGAAATAAAAGAAAACTCAAACAAAAAGAAATAAAATGAAATAAAATAAAAAGAAATAAAATAAAATAGAATAAAATAAAAAGAAATAAAATAAAATAGAATAAAATAAAAAGAAAGAAAATAAGGTGTTTTCTTTGAGGTAAATTGAGGTCAACTGAGGTGATGAGTGGTGGAGGGGTCTGTAAAATGTGGGGTGTTAAAGTCGGGGTGATGTGGTGGGCAGAGAAGGAGTGTTTGGAGGAGGGTTGAGGTTGTGAGCAGTGGGCAGGAGGGGCTAATTTTGGGGTGTCCCTGGAGCGGGTGCTTTGCCCCGTGGGCGCTTTGTGAGGCAGGTGCCGGGTTCGGGGCCGTGTGTCAGGGAGGGCAGGGGGGCTGCGGATGGGGCGCGGGGGGCGCGGGGGGTCCTTTGCGGCGGTGCCGGGGCTGCAGTACCGGCCGTGTCCGCCAGGCGGAGACTGCGGGGCA